CAGCACAACGTCTTTGTGATCCTCTGTCTCTGGAATTTGGCGGTAAAACCACAACAAATGCTTCACTTATACACCGATCAGAAGAAGTTAGACTCATATCTGGAGAAAGTACTCAAACCACTGGCCTCTGGACTTAAGGACAAGAAAGCGTTGGCGGCCTGGGATGTGATCAATGAGCCGCAGGGCTCAGTGGCCGACAGTATTACGGATACCAATCCCTGTTGGGACACAACTATACTGAAGAACTCGGGCGCCGATTGGACTCAAACCCATTTGAAGATGAAAGATGTGATGCGTTTCATTAACCTTCACTCGGATGCCATCAAAACAGGCGATCCTAAAGCGCTGGTCACTATCGGCGACAGCGATCTGACGATGACTAACATTGCGAACAATACTCGCGACTATTATAGCGACAGTTGTTTGAGTCAAGCCGGGGGTAAACCTAACGGCACTTTAGGTCTGATTTAACTCAAGAAAAATATAAACTTTTTATAAAAACAATGAATTTGTGACTAATTTGTAAACTTTTGCTTATTTTGTAGACTTTTATTGTCTCCACTCATACACGTGGCCGCACACACCCGATGGCAAGTACTCGGCTACCAGTCCCTTCAAACACACCAACGCTGACTATAAGTCGCCGAAAGCACTGGTAGTCGGAGAATTTGCTACGGTTTGTAGCGAAAGTCTGAATGCGAGTAAAAATTATCGCCAATTATATGACGCCAAATATGCCGGTGCTCTGAGTTGGCAGTACAATGAGGGCGGAGATTGTGCTGATAAGAGGTCTGTCGATGACATCGGAATGACTGCTATTAAAGATTTGACAGAAAATGGAAAGATTGTCATCAAATTGTAGTCCAAGTTATTTGTGTCAAATTCTTATATTATCTGTAATATTAAATGTTAAATAAAAATGTTCTAGATAAAATAAAATTATATAGAATATAATATTTCGTAAAGTTTTCAAATCATTGTGTAATTGGTTTAATAAAAATGTTTTATATGTGTAATACAAATGAAATTAAATAGTGTTCACAATCTGTGGGCAAATTGTTCTAATTTAAAATGTTGTATAAATTTTATGTTCTGGGTAATTAATAATTATATAAAAAAATCATTTATTTAATCAATTAATTAAAAATAGTTGTCATGAAATAAGCCTCAATCATAGTATGTACAGAACATAATGTAATTTTTATTATAATAATCAGTGTTTTATTGATTACGGAGTGACATATGGCGAGCAATAACCAGATTTACTTAAATCAAACCAAAGATCATAATAACGCTGTTCAGCGATGGACAGGATGGCCCCTCTGTTCACATCATTCATGGCCAGTATGGCTCTGCCGGCCGCTGTCTCGGGAAGGAAAGTGGGTTTTGGTAACGGAAGGCACTGTTGGTTACAATCGCCCACTTCGTCGAAGGTGTTGAGGAAAGCACTCGTGTTTCCGTTCAAATACCCGGAGTAGTATTTGGCAATAATCCAGGCCTGCATACGAGATATGGCTCGGGGCAAGGGATCTGCCTGTCCTTTCGTCACGCGTACAATGGGTTTGATTAGATTGTCGGGAACAGAGCAAAGGGTACCGAAGCCTAACCACCACAGGGACCGGATCGAGACGTCGGGAGCGCCGGTCAAGTTGTCGGTGGCTATACTGGCCGTCTCTATCTCCCCGGAGTCGGGATTGAAGCGATTGTTTATGATGTTATAACTCAAAGGCGTCAGATTCTCCTGTCGGGCCAATTGCCACCTCTGACCCCTCACCTCAGTCTCGCACAGACTCTTCATGTAGAATAATATGCTATCAAATTGGGAATCAATTTAAACCAATTAANGGTGAAGCCCAGGGATATATAGTGCCTCTCGGACTCCAGTGCCGCTTCACGCATGGAATGACTCCCCAATCGCTGTAAATGCCGTCTCCCACACAATACCCGCCCGAATAGCTTCCATTGTGGCCAAAGGTGTCCCAAATGATAGACCTTTCGGGGTGTGCGCCCACTATCCACGGACACTGACAGTAAGTATTCATTTAAATAGTGGTTATACAATGAAATGTTGCATTCAATGAATACCCAGTAAGGTAGCGAAACCGTGGGGTCGATCTGTTGCATATAGCTCTCCAACTCGTAGGCTAACCATCTGTGGGCCGGTATGATCTCACCGGACGCGTGCCACGCCTGCCAATAGCGGACATATATGTCGGTCAAATTGGCCACCACTCCATTGGTGTACAACTGTTGCCAAACGGCGATCACAGCCGTGCGCTGAGCGGGCGAAAGGCATCTCCAGTCTTGTCGGACAGTGATGGCTGAGCACAGGGCCACCGTTGAGTCGGGTTTGACGTCCGCGAGGGTCGTGAATGTGGTGTTCAGGTATGAGAGGACAGTGGCCAAGTCAGCGGCACTGGCCGTCCTGGGCTGATTGCAGCGCCGGTATATGGCATTGTTGCACTGGGCTACTGTAGGGCCGGGCGGTGGTATGGTAACACCTGATGGTGGGGGCTCAGGGAACCAGGTCTCCGATTTGGCCTCACCTAATCAACGCATGTATAGTAAATTGAATTATGCTGAGATTTGCAGACTTTTACCTTGATAGATATGGTCATCAATATAAGATTCATCACAGAATATAATCGATAAGAATGTTAATATAAATAATGATAAAAATGGTATTCTATATAACATTTCTGTTATCTCTTATGTAAAAAATAAAAGCTATAAAATACCCCAAAAACAAGTTTATGGACCGCAGATTTTTTTTGTTCTAACTTTTATACTGCAATCAAACATTGGACTAAAAAAATGTGCAAACAATCATTAAATCGCTAATATAGAGTGTATTGACATTAACACACAGATCACAGATTGCTTTTATCATTTTCTATCATTACTTATCCAATGATTATTACATAAATACATATTATGTACACTATATGTGATCAGTTTTAGTATAGTACTGTTTTAATCAGGTTCAAAATTGTAAGCTAAATATGTGAATTTGAATTTAGTTCTCAATTTCATTAATGAAAAAAGTACTATTTGTTTGCAAATGCATGTATTTGTTGCGCAAATATTTAGATTTGGTTCAGATCAGTGTAAATGTTAGGCAGTACATTTTAGATTAGTAATTAAAGTGTAAATATAAGTAATAATTTATAATATGTTAATTAATATTTAGTTTTTTTGCAAACTAATTAAAAAAATAAATAATTTAATTCCAAAGTCACAAAATTTATTGAGTTTAAAAATTTACAAAGTACTTTAAATGTCTATTATAATAAATCGTAAATTTAATCTTTATATAATTTTCTATTTCTATTCTTCAATAAAACCTTGTTTAAATTACACTAAGTCTGATGATTTGTTAAATAATTATTAAACGAGTAATTAGAAATACTAATCATAAGTCTAATTGAATTAATACTGTAATTTCTCCTTTTGAAATAAACATTTTAATTTTATTAATAAGAGTACATGTATTTATATTAAATTTTTAGTAATATAAAATTTAATTTTGTTCATTCTAGATAAAAACAAGCTAGTTTATGTTATATATTTGAAAATATACTTTAATATTGATTTGATAGCTCCTGATATTCAAGGCTTTAAAAACTATATAAAATATGTTTTATTGGAAAATAAAAGTATGATTAACAATTAAAGATTTCATTTGAGTGGCAGATGTTTAAAATTACACAAACTCTTATTTTATAAATATAATTCTGTATTTTTAAGATAATTACACTTTTTATATTTCTTTAAATACACTAGTTTTTAGATTCTGTGTACATACCTGTATTTGTAACAAATTGCAAACAATAATCAAACTTATATCAAAAGTAATATTCAAATTGAATCAAACTATTATTTTCAGACATTTATGAAGCAGTCATTACAGGTTTATCGCGAGGAGTAAAAACTGGACCCAAATTATTGACGGGAGGCGTGAATTGTGTCCACCCGTCCACTAGAGAACAAGTGGAACTACATCCACCGGTCACTAAAGTCAATGAATAGATGATCGTATGACTTGTAATACCAGTGCGACTGACACATCCGTACTGATTGTTGGCCACAAGCACCACAAGTCTCCAGAGGTAACCGCCCGCACACTTTGGCGGCTCTGTTATGATTCCCGAACCGACTTTCAGTATATTTCCTAAAAAATTATAAGATTATGAATCTATGAATTTACAGAGTTTTCATGAGTTACTCATGAGTTACCATTCAATGCTGTCGTGTATGCATAGAATTGTGGGACATTGAGCTCATGTTGAGGTCCAGGTGCCGCGTGTTCCCTGAATTGCAAGTCATAGATAGATTCAATGATAGCCTGTTTACCATTGCATTGCAGGGGTAATAGCAACGATGTGTTAAATAGGAGTTCCTTTATCACTGATTCCTTAGTACACTTTAAGTGATCGAAATATGTTAGATTCACTTCTGTTATAACCGTTACGTCTGTTAATTAAGTAATAAGGATTACAATTAACCAACTATGGGGAGAATTAGCGAAAATTACCGGGTAGTGGATAGCTATCTACAAAGAATAGTCCCAAAGGCCCGGGTATAGGGTTGGGAGCACTGATTGGTCCTGCATATCAAATGTTTACAAAACAATTATGAAAACAATGATTATACTAGATAGAAATGGAGTTACTGGATGATATGTGACCGGCCAGTTGTGGCCAATTGCCAGGTGGCGATTGTGGCAGTTTGTTAACCCAATTCCATTGGTCATCCGTGTGATCACATAATACTAAACTAAATGTAAGACTTATTATTAGTATAGCATTCATTATAATATTTCTAATAAAATATGTGAACAATTTACAAATGGACAAAAATGGTAAAATATAAATGTAAAAGTGTTACTAGTAATTTGCATATTTAAGTTTTGCTTGATATTTAAATCATATTTTATTTAATAAAAAGAGTTTCGTAATATTTTATAGTTTTTAAATGATCTCCGTTTTAAGTAGACCTTAAAATTTAATTATTTATAAGAAATATTTATTTAATTTTTAATAAATAATTGAATTAATTAAAAATATTAAGAAATACAGTAATGTTAAAATTATAATAAACTACATTTATAAACCTTTGCATTACAGTAATACGAAATACCTTGGTTCTTATCAAAAATCATACCGTATATGATTGACAGGTGGTTGCAATATTTAATAAAATTTAAAAGCCATTTTCCACTTATTGTGAAATAAAATAATTGACTAAAATATGAATTTGGGAATTTTTATTAATTAATAAAATACAAATGGTGAAAAATATACAAATGGAGTACAAAATTAGATAAATATAATATTGAATAAGTATTTGAAAGTAAAGTATTGATTACAAGTGTAATATTACTAAAAATAGTAAAAGTTATAAATAATTATAAATACAAATCACAAATAATTCATAATATAAGCCATTGTATGCATAATCGAGTTAATGGTGTTTTGGGGACAACTTAACAAACACTCCGTTTTTGGGCGAACATGTAATCAGTTTGAAGTCGAGCTCGAGTTCACCCGACTCTGTCTTCTGACCGGCGATTATGTTATAATTATGCAGAATGTGAGCCAAAATCAGCTTAATCTCTAGTAATCCAAATCGCTTTCCCGGACAGATTCGTGGGCCCACACCAAACGGCTGATACATAACCGGATCAATGACTGTCTTTTTGTCCATAAATCTGTTTGGATCGAAACGATTTGGTTCCGACCAATACTCAGGGTCTCTGTGCAGCTGAACCGTCGGCACTCGTATGTCGACACCTTTGGGTATAACTATGTCTTTGTATTTGTAGTCAGTCTTCGACATACGACTCGTGAATATAGTGTCTGTCGGATACAGACGGAAGGTTTCACTGATGACAGCGTCCAATACCGGCATATCTGACATGACATTGAAGTCAAATTTGTTGTCTTTTTCATACAGACTGTTGATCTCTTCGCAACATTTCTGTTGAATATCCGGATAATTAACCAAATTATGAATAGCAAAGCCCAACAGATTTGCCGGACTCTCGTAGGCGGCCTCATGCAAGACCACAGTGTTGGCGATGATCTCCACGTCGTTCAGCGTCTTCTCCGTGTTTTTGTTGCTATTATTTCTCACTTCAATCATCAATTCGAGCAAATCTTTGCGCTTAGTTTCGTAAGCCTTGAGTTTATTGTTGTTTTTGTCCACACCTTTACTCTTGCCGTTCATTATATCGAGTCTATTCTTGACGATAGCCTCACCCGCTCTCCACAGTAGGCCATGACTTGTGTAACCGAAATAATCCCAAAGAGTTTCGCTGACATCGCGGATCAGATTAATAATAGGCGACAGTTCGGGGAAACAAAGCAAAAGTGAGGCCAGAAATTGGCGATTGGGACGGATGTTGAATACTCCTCGAGTCGCCTGAAAGAAGGGATTGTTTGCGGATAACTTGTCCTGAATGTCAGTCGTTATACTGAATCCGGTTCTGTCTATGATATCGATGGTCGTCGCCTCCAATCTCTCATAGATATTGAATTCTTCATCATTTTGGGCCAATTTATCCATTCTTTCGATCATATCTTCGACGCACATGTTAATGATGGGAGTGTTTGTCTTCAGATGCATTGAACTGAACCACGGGCTCAGTAGGGTTCGCATCTTCTTCCATCTCAATGAGTCCACACGAGTCACCTGTAGGTCCAAAAAGTCAAAGATTAGCAGTTTATTCAAATTACCATTCAAATTGACTATTCTTACCATTTCATGGTATTTCCAGTTATGATAGATTCCTCCGGGTATGACATATGGGCGTTGAGTGAAATGCTGGAAGTCCTTCACTTGGATCAGCTTCAAAAGCTCGGGATCTGTGACAACGACAAAAGGTTTGGCCCCCAAGTAATAGCCGA